TTAGTGGGTTTAATGTAAATAAATTAAGCCGGTGATTAGATCTTAGAAATGAGAAGTAAAGACCATCTCAAATGAACAAGGGAACCTACATAAAAATTAATTATACTGGCATGAGTAGGTATGAGGCACTTGTTTCATTAAGATGAATTCTCAGGGGGCTGTGTTTAAATGAAAATCTGTTTTCCATTTGTGCTAGAAAGTGTGCTGGTTTCAGAAGTGTTAGGAAGCTGGTGCTCTGAACATTATTCAGATTATTTTCCTCCAGATCACCATGGACTCCAAATGTGAGTGTCTGCTCGGTACAGACTGGACTACTTTACAGTCAAGCACATACAAAATAGCAGCAACATTTTCATTCAAAACATCTAAGGTACAATTACTGAGTTCTTGAGCTTTTTATACTCACTTATTGGACCTCTTACACTAATAGGATTATTTGAGATGGAAGGCAGCCCTCCGGCAACCAAAGCTGCTGAAGCTTCACAAATCATCACAAATGCCCACACCCACAGACATAGCCAGCTCTCTGAACCACGGAGCCTTCAAAAGAAGCATATGATAAAGATACGAGGGTGAAAGTTTCCTCACTTTGGACACCAGCAATAGTAGTCTTACCTTGAGCACCCGAACTTTACAAGTATCTATTTATGTGAGAAATGATCAAGACTGAATTTTATCATACGATTTACATACTATTTCAAAGTCTCGTCATTATATCATGTTTGTTATTTAAATGAGCCATTGATAAACTCTTTCTATAAAGGGACAGATAGTAAATACTTAACTAACACCAGGAATTTTATACAGGTATTTGCATAACAAAAGGAAAGAGAATGTCCACAGCATTTTTACTGACAATATTAAAAATATGATAACAATAAAGCATGAATTTTCATCACGCCGGTCTAGGAATGAGAATAGATGACACTAAGATTTTAACATCATTCAATTCTCATGTGTCATGAAGAATTCTTTTTGTATTTCCCCCAACTTTAAAAAATGTAAATACCGGGCTTGGCTCATGAGCTATACAAAAGTAGGCACTGGGATGGATTTGACCCCCTGGCCCCCAGTTTGCCAAAATTTGATTAGCTATTACATTATAATAAGATGTATGTTACACGAGCCTATTGACATCTTCTCATTGGAGGGGAACAACAATTCAGTCTAAATGCACAGACTGGCTCCAATGAAGAAAGCGTTTGTATAGAATACAAATTCTGTAATTAATTTGAGAAGGCACATGACATGTTGGAATTGACTGGGTGGCAGTGGGTTGAGAATGTCTACTACTTCAAACTAAGCTCTAGGCATTAAGTGAAAGTCAGCTGCTGGATCTCCAACTGGGTCTCTGTGTGGTGTTCTCCCCTCATCAGAAATGATTTGTTTACAACTGAGAGTAGGGAAGATGGACCAATGGATGCAAGCAAATGAGCATTTCCATCAGAGAAGCGCATGCATGTTCATCTTCATATCCAAAAGTCAACCACCCATGAATTGCAAGATCCATTCATAATTCATCAGCACTTTGTATTTTGGTTATTTTTAGTGGCGGAAAGGACATTCTGGGGAGATGGAGTAAACATGGAAGCCTCTAGAAATCATCACAAGGCTGAGGTTTAACAATGTGAGATCAGTGCAGATGCATTCAAGGGGGTGTTCCAGAGTTCTATGGGTGCTCTTCTCCTCAGGGATTCACCTTTCCCTATTGCTGATGTTGACACATTCCTTAGTGTTTTCCGGGTAGAGATCAGGCTATCATTTATTTCAAAGATGTTGGCTTTCAAAGCACCCAGAAGTTGGCTTCTAATTAAGCCACTTGCGGGCTGTTTGGTGGGCACTAATCATGCCCAGAGTAAGGTTCTGCAGATCTTAGTCCCCAGTTTCCATCATATGTTCTGCAAAAGTACAAATAGAGGCAAAACAGTAAAACTCTGCCCCCACCCTCCACTCCTGACTATTTTGACAGTTTCCTTCTGTCCACCAGAGTGGGCCCCTCCCTCAACAATGTCTTACTGTCCAGCAACTGTGGATTCCGATGCATACTTGTAAACTAAAGGGATGCCCCCACTTCTCTGTGCATGTTTCTCAATAGCAAGTGCAGAAACCCATAACCTCCTGTGTAAACCACCTGACCGCTAAGCCCTCCTATAAGGATGGAGCAGATGCTTTCTTCAAAGGGCTGTCTCAATACAATGAAAAACTCGTCTTGGTCAGAACAAAGAGGAAAGGACCTGGGACTTGCTGGTTGCTTTTGAAAAGTCAGAACAGATTGGGGTCCAGTAAGAAGCAAAGAATGTCATCCATTGAACAACGTCATCATCAAGCAGATGAGGAGCAGACAGCGCCCCCAACAATGAGCAAGCTCATGAGTCTAGTCTATATAAATCCGATAGACAGACAGACAGGCAGACAGGCAGGCAAACATAAAAGCCTGCTCATGAATCAGGTCAACTGACATTCACATTAAAGTGCATCTACTCCCTGAGCAGTCGTGGGTTTACAGAGCCCTGCCACATAAAACACTTGGCCATTGAAATCTTGGGCTGAACATATTAGCTCCTGGAGAATCAGGTGTAAATAAAGGGAGAAAGTCTCTGTAGAGAGCTGAAAGAGAGAAACCTTTAATTTTCTGTATTTCTGTTCAGGCCTTCCTGACTTTAATATTGGGGCTCAAGAATGATGCCCTGTTTTGTGGCTAGAAGAGCTTAGGCAGCAGAATTACAGAAGTAATGATAACACTTTAAGATGCTTGTGCTGCTAGTTTCTCATCCACGCACTAAAGACAACCTTACCCACACACATAGCTACTTGCTCTTCTCTGAGAGAAGGAAGTCTACCATGACCTGGTAACAAGAGACATCAAGTGTTTAGACTCTGTTTCCTTCCAAGGAGAAAAGAAAAGATTCCCCAAGCAATTAGAGATAAAATTAAAATAAGGGAAAAGGATGTTTTCCATTGTCTCCACTGTGAGATGATCGCATTGCCCATGTAATAATAACAAGAAATTACTAAATGCAACTTTCATTAAATTATATATATACATATATATATATTCTGTCTTTTTCTGATCCTTGAACTCCTAATGTGTAAGTAAACAAAAACACCAACTCTGATCTCTAAATAATCCTGCTGGTTTAACATCTTACTGTGTCTTTAAGTTTGGGGGTTGTTTTCTTTTGAGCATGTAGAAGAGCACTAAACTTAACTTTCTGTACAAAGCAAGACTGAAAGAATACAGAGAAGGATGGAAATTTTAGATGTCGGCCTGAGGCCTGAGCTAAGCAGACATGAATACTGTGCTCTCCCCAGTTCCTCCTCGCAGCGGCTGTCCTCAGGAGAAGCGTGATGAAAGGGACCTGCTCGTCATCTCCCCGCCTCCTGTGTTTGTTACAGAACTTCAAGAAAAGCAAACAATCAGAAACAATCACTAGCCCAACTAACCCGATCAGTATATTGCAAACCCAACCACAGGCAGTAAGTCCATTGGGGAGAAAGGACTGCTGTTCTTGGGAAGGAAGGAGGCTGGCGGGGATGGTGATGTGCTTTCTATCGTAAGGGTGACCTCTAGTGCCTTCTTGCTTTGTTGAACTCAGTAGTTGGGTGATGAATTATTTTAGCATACTTTTTCTATAAAACTCTGTGTGTGTGTGTGTGTGTGTGTGTGTGTGTGTGTGTGTGTGTGTGTGGCAGTGGGTGGTAACGGTGGTTTGTTTCGCGGTCTGTCAAATGCTACCATTAGCATGATTCACGATAGATGGAACTATGCAAAGCTTACTGACTCACAGGGTGCTCTTATACCTAGATTAAATTCATAATCAGCAACCCAGTACGGGCAGCGCCTGCAGTGTGGATGGACTTTGTGTAGCGAGCCACTCCATCCACCGTTCTTCCCACCTCCGAGGCAGAGAGTGGAGTCAAGACTGCTTCCTGTGTGCCCCTCACCTGAAAATCTGCTTGTGAATCAGCCACACAAACCCAGGGAGCAGCCCTGCCAGCTCGTTCTTGAAAAGCAAATGAGCTTTTCCTTCAAAACCCTAGAATTTTAAAAGTTGCACATGCAAAGCTTGGGAATCATTCATCAAAGGGGGTGGGGGGGATTTTGCCTTTTTAGAGATTTAAGTCCAAATAAAACTTTTTAACTTTCTTCTAACTCGAATTTATTTTTTTTAAGTGGATGAAGAGCCTTTCTGCAGAATTACTTTAGAGGACCCCCAAATTAGAAAAACTGAGGCTTGGATAAAGATTGACCGTCTCAACCAGTCTGGATATCCAAAAATCCAATGAAAATTGTACACAGCTCAAAATTCCCCCGTGAAAGATGAAGGCTCTGTGCAGGATCACCTGAGCATTTTCCTTTTGGCCAAAAAACGCAGGCTCGGCCCCCTCTTTCAGGAGAGCTCCGGGCTCATTCTCTTAATCAGGAGCCCTGAGCTCCAAGGTAGGGTGCCTCCCACCACTTCTGCAACTCACTTCTGCAGTGCCCACCGAGGTGAACTTGGCATTGTTCTCTTAAGATGCAGCCAGCCAGGACTCGGCCAAATGGCAAACTTCAGAAATCTGAGCTAAGACAACAGCACGCTGTGAAGCCCGCCCCTAGCTTCCTCTTGGACACAATTCCAATAGAAGTCCATGCTCCCTGAAGAGGAGGAAGAGGGAGAGCCACCCAGCACGGACTATTCCCTGGCTAAGATGCTCCTTCCGAGCTTTTCCAGAACTTGAGCTTTCCCAATGAATATGCAGAGGCTGGAGGACCCACATCTGCTCCTGGGCAGAAAGAGAAGGGATGCTTGGCACCTTCTGACCAGACCAAGAGGTAAGGCAAGTGTTAACCCCGTCCTGTCTCTGGACCGCTGGCAAGAGGCTTCCTTCACAGCAAGGTGTTTTGCCGCAAGTCCGCTTCCAAATAATCATCCTTAAGCACACACACACACACACAACAGAATCAAAGTTTTGCAGGGACCCCCTGCGAGTTTTCGATCAGTCTGCAGTGTACTTACAAGAATTCCCAGCGAGGACCCCGCTCCCGTGGTGAGTCCACAGCAGAAGTAGCGTCTGGAGCACCGCTCCGGTGGTAGACCGCATGGTCACATTCGCTGGACGCCCCCAAAAGCTGCTGATGGGCTCTGTGTGCCCCAGTCCTGTTCTCTGTCTCCCTCCCAGCTCCGGCTGGCTCTTCAGCCGCACCAATCTCTCTCTCTGTCTCTCTCTCTGTGTCTCTCTGTCCCTCACTCACTCCTCACTCACACACACACACAGACACACTCTCTCTCCCTCCCTGGCGAGCACACACAGGCTTGCCTCCTCACTGAAAACCACCCAGCATCTTTGCCAACCAGCATCTCCACCCCCGAGGCCACGCCCACTCCTCCCAGCAGAGGTCCCTGAGATTCGTAGCCTTGACACCACCCCCTCCTCCAAATTCGAGGCAGCGCTCGGAGCTCCCACCGGTGATAAAAGCTAGACCCTGAGGCTGGGCGAGCGCCGCCTGGGGCTCCTAGGGGCTCCCTCCCTCCTTCTCTAAGCCTCCCATCATCCTTAACCCCTTCCTCCCTGCTAGAGGTGAGGGTGGGGGAAGGGACAGGGCAGCTCTGCCTCCGGATTTCTCTGGAGAGCTTGCATTTTCGAAGTCAACAAGCTAAGCTAATTCCTGAATATCCAGAGGTGCAGCCAGATAAAACGGTGTTGTGTTTCAAAACAAAGGCATAAAAAGAATATCAAAATAACTAAGCAGCCTTGGCACACTGTAGCTAAGGCTGCCCTAGGGGAGAAGACTGACCCCCTGTTGTTGTTTTTCTGCTGTGTATATAAAACCAGCCTCTTCAACCAGGGTGCCAGCACTGTGTTACGGAAATTCCCAACACGAAACCGGTATTCCTGTTTAGCAGATATTTAAAAGCGCCTGGTCATCACCTGCAAGAAAGGAGTAGTTCTTCTTTCGGTGCATCAGGAGTTCAATTCTGCAAATTAAAGACTACTGGATTGGTTTCTTCTGATGGATGCACCGTCTGGTGAATACATAGTACTATTCTACCATCACGCGATCTAATAGTAATTCCTAAAAGGCTAAAAATCCAAAAATGATCTAATGTTACAGAAAGAGAACACACACACACATTCACACCAGCCCTACAAGACATGACTCAAATGGCCCAGTGATGAGATTCAACAGTGCTCTGTCAGTCTGTGTACTAGAGAGACTTGCATGTTGCTGGGATGCTATGCCACCAGGGTTGTACATGCTAGCAGGCTCAGCCATCGTCTCAGTAGAGCTTCCAGACTAAGACAGACTAAGAAGAAGGACCTGGAGATCTACTTCTAAAAAATGACGAGTGAAAAGCTTAACAATAGCAGCTGAACATTAGGAGATGAGCTCTCAAGTTGGAAGGCACTCTAAGTACCACTGGGCAGAGCTGCCTCCTTCAAAGTAGAGTTGATGTTCCTGCTTTGACAGAGGAAAGCTTTCAAAACTTTCATTGCTGACGGGGACAACTCAAGGGGAGAAGGAATAGCTGCAAGCGCTTCTTAATTATTGGTAGACAGATGTGCAAAGCATACACCAGAACCAAAGCAAACCTATTGTGATCAGCTTGATTCTGGTTCGTAGTGATCCTATAGGACAAAGTTAAACTCTTCCTTAGGGTTTTCAAAGCTGTAAGTCTTTGTAGGAGCAGATGGCTTCATCTTACTCTGCCAGCCCAACAGGTAGGTCTGAACAATTGATCTTGTGGTTAACAGCCCAAGGTGGATACATGGCATCAGCAGGGTTCCTTTGTACAAAGTTTGGATCTCGACAAAATAGAAATTGTCAGATATGAAATGAAATGCATAGACATCAATATCCTAGGTATTAATAAGCTGACATGGACTGGTATTGATCATTTTCTATCAGTCAACCACATGGTCCACTATTCCAAGAATGAGAGATTAAAGAGGATTAGCATTGCATTTATCATCAAAAGCACCATTTCAAGATCCGTCCTGAAGTATAATGCTATCACTGATAAGATACTACCCATTCACCTAAAAGGAAGACCGGTTCATGTGACTCATTCAATTTTCCCCACTAGCAGGAAAGATGAAGAAATGTAAAATTTTCATCAAGTTTTCAATCTGAAGTTGATCAGACATGTAATCAAGATGCACTGAGAATGGCTGGTGATTAGAATGGAAGTTGGAAACAAAGATCGGTACTTTTAAAATGTAGCCTTGCTGATTGAAGCAATGGGGAAAGGTGATTGACAGGATTTTGTAAGACTAACAACTATCCATCAGAGGAAAGAAACCATAGAGAAGCTCAATGTTGCAGGTCAAAACAAAGCCAAGGCTGAACAGACCATCATTGCTCATCTGCAAGTGCAAGTTGAAACTGAAGAAAATTAAAACAAGTCCACAAGAGCAAAAGCATGACCTTCAGTTTATCCCAACTGCACATAGAGTTCATCTCAACAGTAGATGTGGGCCAGTGAACACTAATGACCTAAGACCAGACAAGCTGTCAGATGACCTCAAGGACATCAAACATGAAAAGGAAAAGGACATTAGAAAGATGGGAAGGGAAGGAAGGCCAAAATCGAAGTCAGAGATGACTCTGAAGTTTTCTCTTAAACAAAGTACCTAAATCAAATGAAAGAAATTATAAAGTAATGAAACATTCCCAAGGGCGATTCAGAAAGACAAAGCTAAAACATTGCAATGAAATGTGCAAAGACCAGGAGTTAATTAGAAACCCAAAAGGTAAAACACACAGATTTTCTGAAGCTGAAAGAACCGAAGAAAAACTTCAGGTCTCAGATTGCAATAATGAAGGATTCTATGGGCAAAATAGCGAATTATGCAGGGAGCAGAAAGAGAAGATAGAAGGAATATGCAGAGTCACTGTACAAAAAGAATTGGTCTGTGTTCAACCATTTCAGGAGAAAGCATCGAATTAAAAGTGATGGTACTGAAGGAAGAAGTATAAGCTACATTAGGGACATTGGCGGTGAACAGTAAGGCTCCAAGAATTAGCAGAATACCAATTTAAATGTTTCAACAAACTGATGCAATGCTGGACGCACCATTTATCTGTGCCAAGAAATCTGGATGACAGCTACCTCAGTCAACTGACTGGAAGAGATCCTATTTGAACTCATTACAAAGAATGGTGATTCCACAGAGTGTGGAAATTATCAAACAACATCATTAATATCATACACAAGTAAACTGTTGCTGAAAATGATTCAAAAATAGTTCCAGCACAGTTCCATTGACAGGGAACTACCAGAAATTCAAGCTGGATTCAGAAGATGACATGGAGCCAGAGTTTTCATTGGGATTGTCGGACAGATCTTGGCTAAAAGCAGAGAATACCAGAAAGATGGTAGACCTGTGTTCTCTTAACTATGCAAAATATTTGACTGTGTGGATAAAATTTTACAGCTAGCATGGCAAAGAGGGGACATTGCAGGACACTTAACTGTGTTCAAGCAAAGCCTGTACATAGACTACGAGGCAATCGTTCAAACAGAAAAGGCTCCTGCATGGTTTTCAGTCAGGAGAGATGTGTGTGTCAAGTTCATCATCTTTCACCATACTTATTCAATCTGCATATTGAGCCATTAAGCTGAGAAGCTAGATTATATGAAGAACACGGCATGAGAATTAGAGAAAGTCTCATTAATAATCTGTGTGACGCAGATGACACAGCTTGTTGAAAGTGAGACGGATTTGAGGCTCTTACTGACGGAGATCAAAGACCACAATCTTTCGTATGGATTATATCACAACATTTGAAAAGAAACATCTACATGACTAGATCAATAAGCAAGATCGTGATAAATGGAGAAAACATTGACATTGTCAAGGATTTCCTTTTACGTGGATCCACAACCAATACCCATAGAAGCAGGAGTTTAAAGGTCAAAGGATATAGTGCACTGGAGAAATCTGCTGAACAAAGACTTCTTTAAAATGATGGGCCAAAGCTGATGGTGCCCGGCTATCAAAAGTTATAATGTCTGGGGTCTTAAAGGCTTGAAGATAAACAAGTGGCCAACTACCTCAGAAGCAACAAAGCCCACATGGAAGAAGCACATGTGTGACCACGAGCTGTCGAAGGGATCAGGTATCAAGCATCAAAGAACAAAAAATCATATCATTGTAAAGGTGGGTGAGTGCAGAGTGAAGACTCAAAGCCCATTGGTAGGCAAATGAACACCCCCTTGCTGAGGGGTTGTGGAGAGGAGATGAACCAATCAGGGTGCAGGGTAGCAATGATGAAACATATAACTTTCCTTTAGTCTTTGAACGCTTCCTCCCCCCCCCCCATCATGATCCCAATTCTACCTTACAAATCTGGCTAGACCAGAGGATGTACATTGGTACAGATGGCAACTGGAAACACAGGGAATCCAGGACAGATGACTCCTTCAGGATCAGTGGTGAGAGGGGCGATGCCTGGAGGGGGAATGGAGGGTGGGGTAGAAGGGGGGAACCGATTATAAGAATCTAGGTATTGCCTCCTCCCTGGGGGATGGACGGCAGAGAAGAGGGCAAGGGGAGACATTGGACAGTGTAACATGACAAAACAATAATAATTTATGAATTATGGAAGGTTCATGAGGGAGGGGGTAGTAGGGAGAGAGGGAGAAAATGAGCAACTGATATTAGGGGCTAAAGTGGAAGGCAAATGTTTTGAGAATGATGAGGGCAGCAAATATACATATGGGCTTGACACAATGGATGTATGTATGGATTGTGATAAGAATTGTACGAGCCTCCAATAAAATAATCCAAAAAAAACATGGAATGCAAAGATGGTCACTTTGAGGACGAAGGTGTGCATTACCCAATCCATGATCAGTCCAATTGCCTCCTATGGAGTAAAGATTGGCCGATGAGGATGGAAGACTAACGAAGAATTGAAGTTCTGAATCATGGCATTGGCTAAGAATATTAAATATTCCAAGGACTTCCAGAAAAATGAATAAATCCATCTTGGAAGAAGTTCAGCCAGAATGCTCCTGGGAAGCAAGGATGGTGAGACTTCATATCACGTTCTTTGAACATGTTCTCCAAGGAATGAGCAGTCCTTGGAGAAGGAAATCATGCTTGATGAAGTAGCGGGGCACTGAAAATGAGGGGAACCCTTAGTGGGCTGGACTGACACCATGGCTAGACAACAGGCTGAAACGTAGGAGAGCACAGGACAGGGATAGCGTTTTGTTCTATTGTTAGGTTGCTTATAAGCCAGAATCAATTGGATGGCATCTAGCACAACACAACTGCCAAGAAAGGAGTGCACTTGAATTCAGAAGATCTTTGACTTCAAAACACCATTGTTC